AGTGCTTTCTCAAGTGGGTGACTTGATAGGCAGTGCGGTGTGGGGCACGTTGGCGGATCGCTATGGCCGTCGCCCCATCATGATCATGTCGCCGATCGCCTCCTCCGTCTTCGTCATCTTGTTCGGCCTGAGCCGGTCGTTTGCGTGGGCGGTGATGGCACGCCTCTGCTGGGGCGCGGTGGCCAGTACAATGGCCGTCACCAAGACCCTGCTCGGCGAGCTGTCCACCGAGAGCACGCGGGCGCGCATGTTTGCGCTGATCGGCTTCTCGAATGGCGTGGCTAAACTGCTAGGTCCCGGCCTCAGCGGCTTGCTCTACAAGCCGTCGGCCAAGTACGCTAGCATGGACACAGAGTTCTGGCGCTCGCACCCGTACCTGCTGCCCTGCCTCATCGTGGTCCTCGTCAACCTGGTCAGCTTCGTCATGTCGCTGCTCTTCCTCAAGGAGACGCTGCCGTCGGTGGAGAAACACGCGCCGCACTCGCCCGCGCCCAGCAGTGCCGACGACGCCATAGGTGACGGTGATGATGTCATCAATGACTCATCATTTGCAGCAGCTGCCGTGGCCACACTGGGTGACTGTGGTGCTGGTGAAGCCACTGGTAACGGCGAGCAGGTGCAGTTGAGAGAGGTGGCATCGTCACCACGGAAACATAATGGCCGACCGCATCGAGACAAAACCGAATCGCCCCTGGTGGTGACGATGGTTGCATCATCTAAAAGTGCGAGAGATGACCCAACATCATTGGCAACAACGACAACCGTGCAAACCAAGATTATCACCGGGCAGGACCACGCGGGGAAACGAGAAGGTCGGCACAGGCAAAGGAGCATTGCCGCTCGCATCCAACACCGCATTGGCCACGGCCGTCGCAGCTACCGTAATCTCCCCGAGCCAGGGAATGACGACTTTGGTACTGATGATGTCGCTGTCTTGCTGGATGACTCATCATCCGCTCTTCGGAGTGGCGGCAACGGTGGCAAAGGCGGGTGCTGCCGGGTACTGCGCATGTACGCGCGCATCCTGCGCTTGCTGAGCGTGCGCACCATCCGCCTGGCCGTCTCCTCATTCGTCATCCTGGCACTGACGGACATGATGGTGTCGGAGACGCTGCCGCTGCTGCTCGTCAACAACTACTCCCACGGCGGCCTGTGCTTCAACACGTCCGAGATCGGTGTCTTCAACTCGGCCATCGCCGTCTTCCAGCTCGGCTCGCAGATGTTCCTCTACCCTCGCCTGGCCAAGCGCTTCGGCTATCGGCGACTGCACCAGGGTGCCATCGCCGTGTTTGCCCTCGGCTGCTTCCTCACGCCCTGGCTGTCGAGCATCGTCGGCTCTCAGGACCCGTTGCCGCGACAACCCGCTGCTGCGGCGCTCGCCAATCAGACGTTGCCGAACGCCACGACGGCTGGGGAGCGTACGACGACTACGCGGAGTCGAAATATTACAACTTCAGCGGTGGCGCGCCCGAGCATTGCTACACAGCACGGACCCGCGTCTGGAGCTCGCTGAACACGACGCTGTCATCACCGTCCACTGCACTGCCCATGCATCGTCGCGCCTTCGACAATTCATCCGCAGAGCTGCTGTGGAACTACACGACAGTAACTCTAGACCAGTGCGGGGCGCGTATCGCAGGATCAGATCGAGCTCATTCCGCTCGACCAGCGCGTCAGTGAGTTCCGGTACCTGGCGTGCCTCGACTGGTGGGTTTGGCCGACGGTGCTGCTGATGCGACTGCCCGTCTTCCTCTCCATGATCATGGCGTTCACGTGCACAAACGTGTTCATCAACAACTCGTGCGACGCATCGGTGAGTGCTCGTGTGCAGCCTCCGTGTGTGTGTGTGTGTGTGTGTGTGTGTTTGCGCCTACGTGTTTGTACACGTGCAAAGTTGTGAATGTCCCTGTGTGAGTGCATCATGCCTGTCTCCCGGACGGTGCACTGTGTAATTTTTATCAGCCGACTTCCCCTACACTGGGCCACAGCGCTAGATTTCGGGCGTTACCGTAATGTCGCGTATAAAAGCAGGTGCTTACGGCCGTATAAGCCGGGGTTCAAACCCAGCTTCTACGTCAACCTCATCAGTGCAGTGTCACTGTGCAGTGCATACCGCCACGTATGAACTGTGCAAGTACGTGCTCGTGTCTTTGCACAGAGCGGCTTCTATTCAAATCGTGCTTCTGTGTCACGGCGCGCTTCAAAAAATCGGCTTCTATTCGAGTCATGCTTTTATAATTATATGCGACACTACGGTATAATAAATATATCGTAGTGTCGCGTATTTTTTTATTTTTTTTTTACTAAGGCCACAGCTTCCAATCATGACATGCAAAGCAGCGGTGCAGCATCGCAGGCATGAATCGTGGACGTGGTGACGGGGTCTGATGTGCTCCACCGACCTAGGGTCTCGGCTTCACTGCACAGCAAACGCGTCGAAAGAAAACGAGGGCTAATAATTATCGGGAGATGGGGGGGGGGGAAGAAGAAGAGAGAGAGAGAGAGAGAGAGAGAGAGAGAGAGAGAGAGAGAGAGAGAGAGAGAGAGAGAGAGAGAGAGAGAGAGAGAGAGCGAGAGAGAGAGAGAGAGAGAGAGAGAGAGAGAGAGAGAGAGAGAGAGAGAGAGAGAGAGAGAGAGAGAGAGAGAGAGAGAGAGAGAGAGAGAGAGAGAAAAAAGAGAGAGAGAGAGAGAGACAGAGAGAGAGAGAAAAAGAGAGAGAGAGAGAGAGAGAGAGAGAGAGAGAGAGAGAGAGAGAGAGAGAGAGAGAGAGAGAGAGAGAGAGAGAGAGAGAGAGAGAGAGAGAGAGAGAGAGAGAGAGAGAGAGAGAGGAGAGAGAGAGAGAGAGAGAGGAGAGAGAGAGAGAGAGAGAGAGAGAGAGAGAGAGAGAGAGAGAGAGAGAGAGAGAGAGAGAGAGAGAGAGAGAGAGAGAGAGAGAGAGAGAGAGAGAGAGAGAGAGAGAGAGAGAGAGAGAGAGAGAGAGAGAGAGAGAGAGAGAGAGAGCGTATAAAAGCATGACTCGAAAAGAAGCCGATTTTTGTATATGAATGCAAGCCTTGCCTGATACGTAACATGTTTTCACGGTGACAGCGCGAACAAGGCGTCTGGTTTCATGGTTGTAGCCAGGAGCACTGTTTCCCATACACTCTTCGCCTTGTTCACGCTGTCCCTGTGAAAAGATTTCGGGAGTTGTAGTGCACTGGGCGCCGGCATATCACAACCATAGCAACGAATTCAGTGCTCTAATTTCAGAAATTTTTGGTGCTCAATATTTTCGGTATGAGGGCAAAAGGCCAGGTTAAGTGAACAGAAAATTTAGGTACAGAGAAGCAGTTCCCTATTGGATTATGTGTGTTAGTGTTTGTTCGGTGTATTGAAATTTTAGGTCTGAAAAAGACGCACCGAAAGTACCTTCGGCGAAAATATAAGTACACTGAAACTTTGCGAAATTACAGTATTCCAGAACGTTTTCTTGTCATTATTCGTAGATAAACCAGGCACCTACATGTAGATTTTGCCTAAAATGTGCTAGAGTGTGAGAGCGGGTTTTTCCAGCCGTGCTGCTACCCACAGTCAACTGGGAACTTGTGGCCAGGCACAAGGGGTACATGGATGCAGCTAATGGGGTCATTCTCGGCACTTGTGCCAGTGGTTGTGAGACTTATCCACTCACCCCCACCGTTAGGCACTGCATCTGCCGCTAGGGTTTACCGGGTGTTAGCAGCCTTCATGAGTTCCCTTCGGGAACGGACACGATAATTTACTTTTTATTTTATTTTTTATTTTTTAGTGTGCACTGTATATGAAGGGTAGGCTGGTCACCTACAAGTAATTCTACATTACACCTGAAACCTGGCAGGTCCCTGATATCGAAATGTTAGAACACCTAAAACTACATGTTCTACCAAGCAACAACCACCCAGCTTGGGAGGCTCAATTTGATCAAGGATAAGAAGTGGAAGGGAAGCTTGGCGAGGACGAATTGTAACGAACGGAATGCCGATATCCTACAGTACTGTGAAACGATCGTCGTGTGATCCTACATGTATACATGTTATAGTACCGGTAGTTAATTTGTCCATCATACTTCATGGTCTTTTAACCAAGTGCAGTACGGCAGGATATCGGCATTCGGTTCATTACAATTCGTCCTCGCGAAGCTTCCCTTTCACTTCTTATCCTTGATAAAATTGAACCTCCCACGTTGGGTGGTTGTTGCTTTGCGTCGTAGAGTTGTGGTTAGACCGTATTGTCTTACCGTCCCGTTATCGTACCAAGCCAGCATTCCACTCTGCTTTGGAATGTAGCTTGTGTTCGGTTTGATGGCGCTTGCCTCCCCTCTTTTGGAATTATCACCAGAGAGGTTTTGCAGAGCGAATGTTTGCGCGAATTTTCGTTTGATGTCACAAGAAGCGAAACTTCGTGCGAACGTTCGCAGTTTTGAACGCGGAAGTTGCAGGAAACGCAGTAATTTTCGCTCATCGCGGACCGGAAGTTGCAGGAAACGCGAAACAAACGTTCGCAGTAATTTTCGCTCATCGCGGACCGGTGGTGCACGGTGAGCCACCCTCAATCCTCATTTTATGCTTGATCTCTGCTCTTGGCTTGGTCCGTGGGTGCTAGCTTTCCCATAGATTTGGCGTGTTGCTTTATCTCCGGAACCATCTCCAATCTCCTGCCTGCACGTCTTCTCACTGCTCAGAGTTGGTTACATCAATGATGATGATGCATTCTTTTAAATTTCAGGTGTTGATGCGCCAGATTACAGCACAAGCCAACCCGTTTGTCTGTGGGTCTCCAGCCATGGTTAACTTAGTCAAAGAGCTCTCGTCTCCGGTAGTGACTCAGGGTGCCGCCACTCGCAACAAACGAATAATCGGATGAAGACCACTTCTCAAACAAGCGAGATTGCACGCGTACTTTCGTTTGTTGGAGCGAATATATACAGTCAACTTGGCTAATAACGACTGCGGATATAACGACACTTCGCGAATAACGACAGAATTTCCATGCCCAGAGCAAAGTCCCATCCAACTGGTATACATACAATGAGACTTCGGGTATAACGACACTTCGCGAATAAGGACACTTTTCTGATGCCCCGCCGAGTGTCGTTATAAGCGAAGTTGACTGTATAATCATGCAAAACACAAATTCCGTGCAAACATTAGTAGTACGTGTCGGCCGGTTCTGTGGTAGGTACATGCCCCAGCCCGAAAAAATGGGTTACTATTGATAGTACCCCATTTTTGGGGTAAAACCGGGCACCCTGTTTTTTGCGTAATAAAATGATTTTTTCAGGTGTTGGAGATGGTGGAGGGGTATGCCAATGTCATCATGATTGTACCCCAATAGTTGTACCTGATAATTGCGCCGGATGGAAGTGGGTATAAAAAGTGGATACATTGCTGGATATGGTGTCATAATGAAGATGTTGGTGTTTTTTCCGTGACCCACCCACCCCACGTTCCACCTCCCCATGCAATTTTTCGAAAAATGGTCATGCTCACACACGTCACAAAGGTCAGTTCTTGACAGATATGATACATATCATAACAGAGAAATTCTGAATAATAATAATGGAACGAACACTGAAGATCGCAATGGAATGGAGGAGTAAGGTAGTATTTTCATTATACAATTCAGTTCTTGTCGTCATAATTTCATCAAGCTGGTATCAGATGAGAGACTGCAAAGTTTACTCTTCGAATACGTGTGAGGATGGATTAACCCGTGACCTCTTGCACGACACGCAGTACGAGGTGGAGTTATCGGACGCTCTGATGTGCACCAACGGTTCCGCCCAGTCAGCAATCGAACTGTCGGTCGACGACCTCCTTTGCACCTCCATCGTGTCAACAGTCAACTCGGGTAATTTCGAGACGAATCCATCCTCACTGATGTCGATTGTACCAACTCGCACACGAATCCGCGTTACTATGTCCCTTGGACATAATATGGGCCACGGGTGGACGGAGACCAGTCATGGTCTTTCCACTGCATGACCAGCTTCTAATCATCTTGAATGAAATACGGAGGTTGATGGAGTTTGAATGAGGTAGATCAAGGTGACTCCAATCTCTTACCATGAACACTTGTGTATAGGCTGAGAAACGGCCTCCACCTTCTTCCAATGCCCCTTGCACTTCAAGTGATCTACTAAGGAGCGAAGACCACTCTTGGTCTTTAGGCAGCTGATACAAGTCATAAACATCTTGAGCGAAAGACGGAGTTTGATGGAGTTGGAATGAGGTAGATCAAGGCGACTCCAATCCTACCTCTTTTATACCCATAATCTCCTAGTAATGGAAACTAGTATGTTTGTCGGTTGACGGGGGCGGCACGCGTGCGCTGTACATACTACCAAGGCTATAATAACCCCCCCCCCCCCCCGCCGCCCAAGAGTGTGCAACGCCTAATACCCTTTCTATGGGGTTCGCCGATAGCGAAAACTCCCATCATCGGCTGTTACACTGGTCACGCGGAGTTCCCCATAGTAGTACCGTATTTCCTCCATATTATTATTTTTAACTTTTATTTTACGAGGGTGTTTCCCACAGACCTATGGTCTTCTTACGGGAGCCCCTAGGAAGGTTAAGCATGAGCGAATAAATGAGCGGTACTAGTAGTCTGTACAAGTGCGAACAGTGGAAGGTAGCATGTTCCACCGTCATACAGTGAGCTATAATGCCGTTCTGTTTGTTTTCGCAAGCCGGAACGCGAAAAGCACTGCGAACGTTCGCTCTGCAAAACCTCTCTACTGCTATCCATGAACCTTCCAAGTTGGAAGGCCGCTGGTTAGCGCTGTCGAGCAGTGCTCAAGCTGACTTCCTTGCCGTGGAATGTCTCAGTACTCCTTGTCAGTTTTGTGCTAGATTGTGCACGTCTGACTGTTCAAAACCTGGTTTAGTTGGTGGACTCTAACCCATAATTTGTGCCCCGCCGTTTTCCTTGTATCCTTTCTTCTTTTTTTCTTTCTTTTTTTTACTATGTTCACATACCCAAGTCGAAAATAATACAGACAGACAATGGTACTGAGACTAGCACAAACGTAACAACTACCGTGCATGGGGCTGCACCGAGACGCAACAGTGATGGCGGGGGGGGGGGGGGGGGGCATTGATGGCTCTGCCGACCTGAGGTCTCATGTGTGTGTGTGTGTGTGTGTGTGTGTGTGTGTGTGTGCGTGTGTGTGGGGTGTGTGTGTGCATGTGTGTGTGTGTTTTTGCTTGTGGTGTTGTTGTTGTGGACACAGGTACGGGCGCGCGTGACCAGTCTGGGTCAGATGTCGGCGGCGGTGGCTCGCAGCGTGGGTCCGCTCATCTCCATCCTGTTTGCCTGGAGCACAGACAGCGGGCTGTCGCTGCCGCTCAACTACCACCTGACGTTCTGGGTGGCCGCGCTGATCACACTGCTCACCATCCCGGTGTCGCGAAGACTACCAGCCAGCGTGGAGACCACCACCGCCGCCACGCGGATGGGGTGCGAGGGAAGAACGCCGGCGTCAAGCGAGCGCGGCACGACGGCGAGGGCGGCGGCGGTTGCCAGGCGGCGTCAGTCCACTCTAGACGCAGAGCAAAACGTTCTGCCACACGACGACGGTGACGACGAGGGTGCAGCGATTGCACTCGACGAGGACGAGGTGGCCGTTTGAAGGACGCTTTCGTGCACGGTTCGTGCGTGTGTGTCGTGTGTTTACTGGCAGTTTCTGGCCACGTGCCGATGGACAGCGTCTTGTGGCGATGGCTCTGCGTGCTTGGCATTTACTGTCCAACCGGTTGGTTGGCCACGGGACCAAGGCCAGGGGGACCAGCAACGCATCCCTGGTGGCTGGATGACCTGCTAAGCGCGTGAGCGCACACATACGCACGCACACACACACTATTTCTCTCTCTCTATCTCTCCCTCTCCCCCCCCCCCTCTGTCTCTCTGTGTCTCTCTCTTTCTCACGCACACACACACACACACATACACACACACACACACACACACACACACACACACACACACACACACACACACACACACACACACACACACACACTACTACTACTACTACTACTACTACTACTACTACTACTACTACTATCAATCAGCTACCCCAGTGGGGTCACGCCGCCCTCCACTCAGAGAACTGAGCGCAAGGTGAGGGGCAGTGGCGCAAAACAAAACAGGAAGTACAGCAGAATGAATTGAAAAAAAGGAAATCAAAACAAACAAAAAAGTAAATTATCGTGTCCGTTCCCAAAGGGAACTCACGACGGCCAGTAACACCCGATAAACTCTAGCAAACAAAACAACTAAACAAAACAAGCTGCCATATTGATGGAAAAGAACTCACCAACAGAGGAAAGAAATATCACAAAGCAGATGAACAGTCTGCTGCAGGTCCACTATAAAACTTAATGCAACGACTGAAAAAGGAACAATATAAAAAAATAAATGTGAACATGATGTTCTGTTCCACAAACGTCTGTACGCGTGCTGCTTCGGCCTTCGTGAATCAGGAAAACACAATCTTGAGTTGGAGGGTGGGCACCAAACGTCCCACAAGGGCTCCACAACACGTACTTTCACGAGCGACGAGGAGTGTGTACAGCAAGCTAATAACACTACACCATCGCCGCACGACGACTGGCCATTCAGGTCCAAACAACACGGCCAAGGACAAATTCACGATTCCAGCGATACACCGCGCAGGAAGAAATTTCTGCGAGTTTGACCTGTTTCCTTTCTCATCCAGGAGTCCACTTGCTCTGCCGAACGCCACTGCATTGTTCTTGGCTGGGGTTGATCTGAGGGCTCGCCACACCACTGCGGAGGATGCGGAAAGGACGCAAGAAGACGGTGACGGCAACAAATTACTCGCCCTGGTCGTCAGCTCACTGAATGTCCTTCCGCCCGCGCACGAAACCGGCTGCAAGGCATGAAAAGCCTACTGCCAGTCAATACCCAGGGATGACCCTGACCAGAAGGCCAGGGCCGCCCCGTGGAGGAGGCCAACAAAGAGAAAACCAGGAACTAACAAATCTGCTTCCTCTCGGCAAATATTCTATTCCCACACACACACACACACACACACACACACACACACACACACACACACACACACACACACACACACACACACACACACACACACACACACACACACACACACACACACACACACACACACACACACACACTACTACTACTACTACTACTACTACTACTACTACTACTACTACTACTATAGCATGACTGCCCATTGGGCAATGTCACCCCCGGAGGGGGCCAGAGTTTGGAGGGCACCGTCATTGGCAGGACTTCTGGTGCCTCGTCAAATCTTGCTGTCGTCGGAAACGCTTCGGGCAATGAATGCAGATCAGCGGCAGTGATTCCCTATCGGCTGCAGCAAGACGTTTTCCACGGTTGCAGTTATGGCGGTTAAAACCAGCCCGGGACTTGAAGCAGCGATTGCAGCGTTGACAATGCTGAAAGCAGCAACTAGCGAGAGACGCCGTCAATGCCGTATCCATGGTATCTGCATGATCAGGGAGTGCAGGCTGGCAGCGATGAACTGCAAGCCCACCCTTACTACGGAACCATCGGCAGCAACTGACGCACTGTGCTGAACCACGCTGTTGGTGGACGGGCAGTTGGCGCTCAGCCAAACACTTGTGCCGTGCCTTGTCTTGAGGACGAGAGAAAGCCCGGTTGCAAGATGAGCAGAGTACGGATTTCTCTACTGCCCGAGGAGGCTGAAAAACACACACACACACACACACACACTCTCACTAACTCACTCTCTCTCTCTCACACACACTCTCTCTCTCTCTCTCTCTCTCTCTCTCTCTCTCTCTGTCCAGGGCATCCTGAACATTTCCCACTTGGCTCAATGGGCTTAACTCTTATAACTTTTCTAATAGACTTCTTATCCTTCTGAGTCTTTCTATATCTTTAGTACGTAGTAAATTTACCTTTCAAACGCAGGCCTTTGCTCCAGAATTCCCCACGGACAAGAGAATAATATTATTGTAAACATGGAAAGCGGCTCACCAAGAGAATAATAATAATTATTATACTGTACTATTTGCCAGCTATGAGAGAAATTATCAAGAGAAAAAATATCAATACAGTGGTCCCTCTATAATCCGGCACCATTTGTGCCACGGAAATCTGCTGGATTAGGGAGGGTGCTGGATTAACAAATCGGATTTACTGCTGCAATGTGCATGAAGAGGACATTTGGGCTACTGAAAATTGTGCTGGTTTATCGAGGGTGCTGGTTTATAAAGTGCTGGATTAAAGAGGGACGACTGTACAGTTGTGAACGGTGCCTTCGATAGGCGGTCAGCCTTTGGGTCATCCTAATAAAGGTATTGTTATTATTATTAAAAGAGAAGAAACACATGAGAGCGAGTTTCTTCTCTTTTTTTTACATTTTATTAATACTGGCTCATTATCCGAATATAGCCGCGGCCCAAAGTTGTGCGACCATGGCAATGTAAACCTAGGTGTACGGTGAACTTGGAGTCGGTGTTGGTCACATTTCACAAGGTTAAAAAAATATATCGATCCCTGCATAAACATGTGCATGTTCGTTTTGAGGGGGAGGGAAGCACCGAGAAAAACCCGTTTTGTGAAGTTTGATTCAGTTTCCGCTGTGCATGCGAGTATGCAGTTCCCAGGGCAGCGCAGAGGGGTCCCAGTGCGGTTCAACGTTCATGTTCTGAGGTTCAATATTATTTAATAGTATACTAGTTCATCAGAGAGTTGTACAAAATTGTCTCCAATGTCATGCAGTCGTATTTATTCAGCTTTTATTTCTTGTGTACTTGCATACTGGTATTAGTTTAGTCCCACAATCTGCGATAAAATGATCCGCTGTAGCACCTACTCCACTTTTATGTTTATGTATCTATGTCATTCGGATCTTCCCAAGTTGTACAATGTACTGTTGAGATACCGAATTCAAATAAATCAATACCAAATCAATACCATACCAAACAAATGAGGTCCTTGACCTGCTGGATGCATGCGGATAGCACTCAGTTGCATGCACTTGTCATTTTTCTCGCTTGTTTATTTTTAGCGGCCGGTGAGGCATCCTGCAGCTTCATAACTCGAAGAGAATTGGTGAGCACACATGCTCATTCCCTGGGCACTGCAAATTCACAACTCATTTAATTTTACAGAATCATTAATTTTGCAACGTTTCGGCAAATTGCCATCATCAGGATCATCGACAGGATGCAATATGAAGCGGAAGTCTGCCACGGAGCAGTTATAATTATACACTAATTTGGTGTTCTTAACCCTTTTTAAAAGGGGGCAGCCTACCCATAAATTTCATATGGTTCATATGGCATTCAATTGACCGTAACTTTGGTGTTTATCAGTGGATTTGAGTGAAATTTTGACCACACACTCCTGCCACTATGCTGGCCCTCAGGACATGATTTAAAAGTTCTTGCGCCTCACTGACAGGCTTTCCAGGCCGGAAAAACTCAAATTGCCGGCATAGTGCCACGGTGTGCGAGCCACCCAGGAGCCAAACAAATGCATTTACAATTTTTTCACATTTTCGTGCTCATTCTGTTCGTGCGCGGAACTCAAACCTAGAACAAGTCCAGAAGCAGCCATGGGTGATGGGGTAGGGCCCCTCAACGAGGCCCTGGAATCTGTCACAACGGAACGAGTGGGCGTTCTCGCACACACTCCCACAGACCCAAGTCAATTTTTGAATTTTTTTAGGTTTAGCACGTGCTACGAGGTCGTACCTTTGATACAACATCCAGTGCTGGGACGTCCACAGCAAGCCATTTCCACAGCGCTGCACACCAAATCCAGGATACCCTCAGAAACCGGCAAAGACTACCACTCACGTTTCACTACTGCCTAGTACTGAATCCTACCTGACTTCTTGACACGACTCAAACTTGCCAAAGTCACTAAATCAACGTCAACTACAATAATCAAGCCACATACATGTATCTGCAACGTCACGAGGATGCTGGCAAAAGTCCTGCTGCACGGCGGCGGGCTTTGCCCGCCGCCGTGCAGCCCAATACGTGGCTCAAAAACCTGATTTTTTGGACTTAGCAAAATTCTGCACACTTTCACGTGTTTCCATGATACGACAAGTTGCGCACGGTCTGCTCACATTCAAATACAGTGCTGCCAACAAATGACAGCGTGCAACAAAAAAATCTTTCCTTGCAAGGGCACATTTTCGGCCATAACTCTTGAACGGCCGGTCAGATCGGGACACAATTTTCAGAGAATTTGCAGCTATTCACGCTCTTTCAACTGACGTAGCACTCAATATGAATTTACAAATTCGATTTTTCAGCGAATTTTTGGGTAGTCTGCCACCTTAAGGGGGCAGCCTACCCATAAATTTCATATGGCATTCAATTGACCGTAACTTTGGTGTTTATCAGTGGATTTCAGTGAAATTTTGACCGCACACTCCTGCCACTATGCTGGCCCTCAGGACATGATTTACAAGTTCTTGCGCCTCACTGACAGGCTTTCCAGGCCGGAAAAACTCAAATTTCCGGCATAGTGCCACGGTGTGCGAGCCGCGACATTCTCTCGAACCCAGTTGGGCAGAGCTCTCTGGGCAGAGCTCTCTGGGCAGTGCTGGCGCGAAGCTCTACAACCGTGTTCAACGGTTCTGGTGGCAGCCAAAATCCTGACGACTACGAGC